ATCGTCAATTCCAGAGGTAGACAGTAACATCAAAAATTTGTTGCAGGGTCCTGCTTCGGCATCAATACGTTTGAGAGGTGAGGATGAAGTCGTTCTGCCTGCAGGCTTTCGGTTTTGCCATAAATCCGAGAATGCTGCCTGTGATCATGCCCGTGCTTGCATGGCTGATGGTACAGGGAAGACGAGTTGCGTGTGAGTAAATTTGAATTTAGTTTTGTTTACTTGTTTAGTGGAGCTGAAACAAGTAACCTAGTTTTTGGTACACAAAAGGCGATGGTTTGTTAGATCACCAAAAGGTTTCAGCGCGTCAGCTTGCAACTGATGGTTCATTTAAACGCAGTGAAAAGGTCGGCTCGAGGGTGGAGCCGTTTCGAAGATGTCATAGGGGGTCACTGGAGGAAGAGTTCCATTCTAAACGACATCCTCCACCCCACCCCCCTCCCCACACACTCACGCGCTGAGGGCTGGTCTCCAATGACGTCCAGCGACCTCGTCAAAACCGCTCGACCCTCCAGCCATCGTGTTCACTGCCTTTAAGACTCGCTCAACGAGCGCCCTGAATCTTCGGTCTAAGGGCGCTTTTGTTCATTCTACAGTTCAGTTCTTTTTCTCAAACGTTTCACTTCAGCTGCTACCCTGGATGGAGCGGTGAGACGTGTAATTTACCTGTTGACATTCAAAAAGCGAACCTCATCAACGTTCCTGTGTGCCCTTACTGTAAGTTTTCTTTATCTTACAGTATTATCCAGTTTTTTTCAAACTTTTCAATCCTAACAAACAGCGAAACGTGTCCTGGTTAACCCGTTGTAGATTTCAGACAGAGTTTGAAAAAATAGCCGGGGTCGAAATGTACGGCGGCAATTGCCATACACCTTGCTACCTGATTTTCCATTGAAGTTAATCACCCTTCCTCACCTTACCTTACACAGGAATCAGATACGTTAGCGGGCTGGCATTGCTTCAACCAGAAATTGTGTGATGATCGTTGAGAGAAATGAACTGACTTCACATGAAGAAAGTGGTGTACCATATAATTACGACAGTGAATTGTCATAGTGACCGTGTCATTTGATGGATATCCCAAAGGGCAGCTAGGCTTATTCCCGAATGGTGAAAAGACTGGAACAGCTCAACCACCGGGTCATGTTTCGTTACCCGCATGGGGAAAGGCTCTGACTACACAATTTTAGGGCCACCTGTCATAACGTTGATGGTATTCATCTTCTGCGTTTTCTTGTTACTTGTCTGCGTTTATAAATTCAAAAACAAGGTGGAGTTACTTTATTATTTTTTCGGATTTTTCGGACTCATACCTTCTCAACAGTATGCCTAATTTATTAATTTTCAGCCACCTTCCAAGTCGTTCCGATATCGTGGAAGCAAGTGAGTTTGTAGTGCGCTTCTCACAAATAATCGCGCCAGCGATATAAGCTCTGGTAAGAAAAAAGTAGGAAAAGCGCAATTTTTTCTTCCTCCGTCAATACCGAAGGAATCAATCGGCTCACTAAAGAAGCGTGAGCTTTTTCCAACTGGACGACCTCAGAAGAAAAAATTTCTTAATTGGCCGAAATGATACTCGACTCTTGTTCCTCCGCCGATAAGAGAGCCTGTTGTTAGTCCCAATCATCCAGCCCGTTGAAAATGAATTCCGTTCATGATACGGGAAGATCCTTTATTTTGAACCCGCTCGCTGTATGTGAATAACCCTCGGTACGCCCGACATAATTCAAGTTCGCGGGTAATTGAGACAAGCTAGTTCCTATTAGAAGTATAAT